ATAAAGAAAATTATCCAATTGCAGTTCTCTTTTAAAGTCGTACATAAAATGTGATTGGATAATTTTCTTTATGCATACGTTTATGCGGCTATGTAAGTTGTGTGGATATACCTTAAAGCGGGGAGCACAGACTCTTGCATAACGCATAACACATGAGGCATAAGAAATTGAACCAACCAGAGTTCTCTATTACATGGAAGGGAAAGAAACGGAGAACTTCGATTGGTACATATTCTTATGCATTACGTATTATGCGCTATGCAAGAGCTGTGCTCCCCGCTTAAACGTAAGTGAGCATGAGCACCTGAAAGCTTCTCATTCGCTCAAGCATCTGACCCAGCCAAAATAGCGGTTGATCAATTGCGGCCACAATTTTCTATGCTTCACAACGGAGATACCTATTCCAATGTATATATAGTTCAGTGGCTACACCACTTTTACTCAAACATTTTGTGTTTTCAATTAACAATAAAAGTGATTTCTGTTCTACCAACCGCAGTTATTTTTTTCTAGTTACCGTGTGCGGTTGAAAATTTCTCTTTTACCGACCATGATAAGATATAAAATGTAAACAAACGAAAAAAGAATAATATTCTTTTGATTCTCATGTATAAATCTAGTTTACATCGTGCACTTGATGTAGTACTAACTAATAACTTTCTATTAAATTATTATAATTTTAGCAATGTATTTAAAGAATGTTGTACACTAAATTGGTACAGTATACATCGTAATGATTAATTAAATACACATATCATGTATATGTTTCAACGTATCGCTGAAATTAAGATCGTTCAATAGAAAGTTACTAATTAGTACCCGTATCAAATGCACGATGTAAACTAAGTCATAATAATTCTCTATCTATACTTTCATTTTTTTTCTCCTTTCGATCGCCATGTCCTCACATATTTATATAAATAAAAAGTGAATGCAGAACAGAGATAAAACAAAATATTTATTTCATGACTGAACGACTGTTTCATGCAACTATAAAATTTTGGTCTTCCTTCTGCAGTTTTTACGTACAAGCTGATTTCTAATTTATTAAAATATAAAAGAAGCGTAAATGGTTCTTTTACGTATTAATTTTAAACTGTGCCATGGCTAGAGATCGGGAACTTTTTCATCCAAAAAGCATACGCCGACATCGCGCTGCGTTTGATCGTGCATACAGGTCAGCCATACGTTAATCAGTTGTTGACACAAAAATATTAGATTGATCAAAAAGTTTATTCGTTTCTTTCCTACGATACTTACACTAGATAACCGATCGTGTAACAATTATGCCACGGCATTATTTAAGCAGCTGTGAAATAAAATGATGTACAGAGTTGTATAATAATAATTAACTTAATTTGTTGTAATTTGCGTTATTCTCCTAATTAGGTCACTCGTCTCGGCGCGACATTATGACAAGGAATATTCCCCCCGACAGGACATTGAAAAAGCGACAGTATTTGATTTGGTGTACAAATATCTGGGCAAATGCGCCAACCAGAACATAAAGGAGAGACAGCGAAACTGTGCGTGTAACAAATTCAATAAGCGACATGCGAGAAAGAAAGACATTCATAGACAAGACTTAGCGACAATTTATTCAAATTTCGACGAAGAAATTGCCGGTGTCGATGGCGAGCGATCTCGATCACACACAAATAAAAATATCCTTAAAAGGAGCTCGTCGAAAGAATGTATCGCCGATTATACAAAAGCTGTCCGTGATGGTACATAAAAACCCTGGTGAAAATAAAAATCGAAGCGTAAGTTGAATGTAATGGGAGAGTAACAGAAGCGTAAACGAAACTTCTAAGAGGCAAAAATTGAAACATTAAAATGTAAAAGAAGCGTAAATGCTTCTTTTACGTTTCATTGTTCCAATCTTCGTCTTTTAGAAGTTTCGTTTACTCTCTTCTGTTACTCTCTCATTATATCCGATTTACGCTCCGATTTTGATTTTCATCAGAGAACTCATTATAATGTTCAGCAATTGAATTAAAAAAAAGACATACATTGTAGAATTATTACAAACAGAACATAGTCATTAAAATGACGTTAAATTGCACCAAAATAGTTACTAAAAGTCACTTTTCAATCAGTAATAATTAATTTTAACGTTATTTTGACGTTATCGTAATTTGTTCTGCTTATGAAATAAAATTTTTCAGAATTTTCGAAAAGAAGAGAAGAAGAGATAAGTATAGAAACAAATAAAACGTAAATTAATCGTTACCGTTGGATTTTTTAGGACGAAGACGTGCAAAATTCTACATACGGGAAGCACTTATATACGGTTTGCAATCCGGATTGTTAATCCCAACCGATTTACAGAAGAACATGCTGCGCGTTTCACGAAAGATAGGAGTTCTAAGAAACGCGAAAAAAGACAATGAAGATCCATCGAATATTGCGACTAGCGGTACTGAGTATTCTGTGTAAGATTGACAGACTTGATCGTAATAAATTCAATCATCAAAAGGATCATAATGACATGGTTCGTGATATTTACAATGCTATTTCCTAATTTTATACTTCAAATTATTTATTAAATGTAAATAAATAAAATTGAAAAAATGTAAATAATAAAACCAGTAATAGAAAACAGATTATATTTTTATATTTCTATTAATTTTAATTAAAAATTTAACAGGCACGTATATGTATATATTTTACTTATAAATGCAACAAACTTTGTGTTAAACACAAAAAATTTTTATATTGAACAAAGAAATTTACGCAAGACTTTTTATTTCAAGTTCTAATTTAAAAATTGTTTAAAAATTGTGTGTGTGTGTGTAGAAGAATAGAATCTTACAAGTAGAATCGCGAATAAATATTAATTTTATTTTCCTGCAGTAACTAATGGAAGTAATTATCAAGATAAAGAAGTAATAACCACATTCATTTTCTCGAACTGTTGAAAATGTATTTATACAATCCTAAATTTTCAACTCGCGTTACCGTCCTCCCCGTCGTTCGCATTCTTCACGACATCGTCGGATCCACCTTCTCAACTCTCGTTCGCGTGCCGCAGTTCTCCTACGAGGAACTTGTGTCCTCAATTCATCGTATATACTATCCTCTGTGTCTTCGTCCTCTTCTTCTACCCTTTCCTCTTCGTCCTCTTCGTCATCTTTTATTCTTTCTTTTATATCTTCTTCATTTTCCTCGGCGTCATTGCGACGACGTCCGTTCCTGATGACGCGAGAACGATCAGGAGGTCGGATCCTTGAAAGTTCATCTCGAGTGACAACTTCGGCATTACAAATGCAGTCCATATCCTCCTCTTCCGTCGTAGTCTCATCTTCTTTCTCATCTGCGCGTTCCACTCTTTGATCTTCCACTCGCGCTTTTTTCGCATTTCTAGCTGGATCTAGCGAAGGAACCCTTAAGACTTTTCTGGAAGGTCCGGGAATCGGTTCCGCGTAATTGTTACGTTGCTCCATCTCGATATCACGTCGTCGTCGATAATCTTGGATATCCGAAACATCGGTATCAAACTCCCTGCGACGATCCGCATCATCTCTTTCGTCAGCTGATATTCTGGTTGAATGAAAAATTAGTTCCGAATCCTCAGGTCGATCGACAATGAAAGTCCTGCGAGATTCCTCGCGTGGCGATTTTAGATCTTGACGAGGACTTTTGGGAAATCGTGCGCAACCACATACACCATTTCTCTGATCATCGACTCTTTTACGTATTCTCGATGTATCTTCTATCATGCGACCTTTGCAATCCAAGGAACAGCCATTCCGCTTTATCGGTTGAACAACGGGGCCGACCAAGTAATACTCGTTGCTCAATAATTCCATGACAAATCTATTACGATGTTGTGATTGTTATTGATTTACAGTAAACAGTGAAAAATATTTTTAAGAAATTGAGTGGCAAGAAAAAATATCTGTATCATCAATTTGTTAACAAGCTATTATTTCTAAAACTAAGAAAGCGTACTATTTATTAGAACATCAATTAAAAAAGAAGAAAAAATATCAAATCTACTTAGAGCGTCTGTCTCTTTATTTTATTATTTAATATTTATTTCTGTATAATACGTTGAAAACGTAACTCTTTAGCATTTTGGTCGCAGTTTTGCAAATCAAGTGAATATCGTACATAATTAGCACCGAAATATCGGTCGATAGATGAACAGCCTGGTAATAAAATAAGTCGCGCAATAACAGTGAAAAATATTGCGTTGCAAAAACACGATTGTGTCTTTCCATAACCGAAAGGAAGACAAAAATATTGTTTGTTAAACTGTATAATATACATATTTTAGAAACAGTGTGTTATAAAGCATAACAGTATATATACAGGGTGGGGAAAAAGTAGCGGGACACCTGAATATCATAGAAAATATAACTATTACAGAAAAGTGTTTCAGACAAAAGTTGTAGGGTTCCAAAAGATCTATTTACTGATCATATCCGTTTGACTTTGCGTGGCATCTTCAAGGTCAGATCAAGGTCAGATCAATTTTTTTTAAATAGAACATCTTATTTTTTATTGCATATTCTTATAGCATATCTCGAGAACTTTCCATAACACTATAATAAAATATTTTTTCATTCTTTCTTGAAGTTAAAGGATCATTTAGAATTAGCTTTAAAAAGGTCAAAATTAAGGTTTACGTATTTCTGCGAAAAATGATTACAAAGCAATGTTTGAAATAAGCGTTTTAAAGCTTAAAACTAACTTCTGAATGCTTCAAATCATTTTTTGTATAACGAAGTTACATTTTTTTGATAACAGCAACGAATTTTACAGTTACTTTTATCGTTACTTTGCACATGATAGGACACAAGCCACTTACACTGTAAATAAATTTCATTACACATGTAATAGATGTAAAATAGATTACATGATTTGTCCTGTAAATACAAAAAATCATGCAATTTTACAGAAATTATGTAAGTCCACAAAAATTATGTAAATTTTATAGTGCAAATATATCTTATTTTATATTAAAAATTATGTAAATAGTAGGATATTTTGAATATTTTCTGTAATTATCCAAATTTTAATTATATTACGTAATATAACAGAAATTTTTTGCGTATTGCTGTTAAATGTATAATAATATATAGTGCGAAATGTGTTGTCATATTATCGTTCCTGTAACTACACGTTGTAATTGTACTTCCACAATCTGCTTAGTTACAAACCAAGAAATTATTTTTATTTGCACATTGCAAATTTACGAACGTGTGGATGCTTACAACTATTATAGCGAGTCTCAAAATTATCCACTATAATTGTTGTAATTTTACACAATAATTGTTTACAGTGCATAGCGCTTGAGACTAGAGAAGCCCCTAGGCCCGTTCGCTATGATTGGCGGTCGTAGATTTAAAAAAAAATAACAGAAAAATAACGAAAAGTTACTTTCTCAAGAAACGGTAACTGTAACGAGTTACTTTTAAAAAACGATAACTTGTTACTTTTTCTACTCAGTAACGAGTAACTGTAACTTGTTACTTTTAAAAAGTAATTTTCCATTTCCTGATGATATATTAACATAATATTTCATTCATTCGCGCGCGCGCGCGTTTTAGAATTTAGTTTAAAACAAGTTACTTTTATGTTACTTGTTCACTTATTCATAAATTGTGTCATTTTGATACTAAGAAACGTTGAATATCAATTTCACGCAAAATCTTTACATGACATAATCACATTATGTTAAATTAACACTCGAATATTATAAAAAAATTTAACACAAACAACAACGTGAATGGATCGTTTCCAACACAAATATACAATTTTTTTACTGCATACAGAAGAAATCAATTTGGCGTGAAGACGTCAAATTTATGAAGGCAACTGGTCGTAATGTATTTGTGAAGAAAAAATACTTGTATTTGTTGCAGATATTACTTGGCTACTTCGGAACATGAGTCGGCAGTTCAGCATTTGTACAGAGTGTCACTGGATCCAGGATACAAGTCGACGTGTTTGACTTGTAACATTGTCAGAGAGAGTGATGGCAGCCGTTGTTTGTACAACAGTGCTAAATTCTCCATTGACAATTCGCATTACGTGGTCACTTGTGCCGGGCCTGGAGTACCTGATATAGCTATCTACAACAAGGTACGCATATCTGATGCTTTTCTATTTTATAGCGCTTCTTAAAACTCGTAAACTGTTTTAAAATTTGAAAAAATATTTTATTAAAATTTTTCAATTAAAAAAATTTAAAGAAAGTTTTGCTAAAATGTAAAAATAAGATTTTTATGTTATCAGTTATTCAATTGATAGCAAATAGGTGATTACGAAAACAGATTTGATGAATTTAATTAATAAAAAAGATGTAAACCTTTGGAGTTAGCAGCGATGAGTAATTATTGTTCGAAACACAAAGAATAATGTACTGTTATTTTTCCATTAAATACAGATACGCGATAGGTTTATTTACATAAAAACTTCAGAATAGCATAGAATATAATTATGCATTACGTGATTTGCATAAATTACGCATAAATTCCAATCTTTAAGACAATTAATATCCAAAATTCAAAATAATAAGCATATACCTTTATAAAAATTTTTCACCGTTTTTAGACCTCATATGGACCATTTTTAGCCAGTTTTTAGCCCGTTTTCAGCCCGTTTTTAGCACGTTCTTGCACTCTCAAGCACTCGCAGTGTATTATGAAGGAACGATAGTGAGTATACACGAGTATGCAATGAGTATTTTTGAGGAGATTGTCCGTTTTCAATACTCGTTTTTTCGCTGATGAACGACAAACGTATACGCGAGTATTTTTGAGTGAATCGTCCGTTTTGAATACTCGTTTTTCCGCTATGTGTATTTTTGAGTGGATTGTCCGTTTTCAGCTGATGAGTGAGAACACGTTAATATTTCTCTTTTAATTGTACATTTTTTTACTTATCATTTATTAATTACCATATCGTATGATTTCAAATAAATTAAAATAGAATTTAT